CCAGACCCTTACTCATCTTTGTATTTCCCCACACCAGAACTTAGGAGGCATTGGATACATATTTCCAAGTGAATACAACCTCATCATTCCCATTAGCCCCTTTCCCCTCCCCCCTCCCTGGATTCCCTAACATGCGGATAAACTCAAGAAGGCTGGAAAATCTCTAGGTGGTTGGCTTTTGAACTGTGATTGGCCAGCTATGAAATAGTAACCTTGCTTTCGGACAAGTAGGTTTAAGACTTCGATTTTCTAAATGTATCTGAAGTAAACTTAGGAAGTCCATGTCAATGTAAAGGAGTTAAGAAATCTCTAGTGTAATGTCCCTGGGGCTGGAGAAATTGGTCAGTAGGTAGTTGTGTCCCTATTTAACCCACAGCAGTGATTCTTGACTCTTTGGGGGTCCGTGGCCTCTTCCAGAATATGATGAAGTTAGAACTCTCTCCCCAGAAAAATGCACTCAGATGCATGCACACGATTTCGTAGTCCATTTCAGAGGTTTCTACGCTGGGAAGCCCATCCATGCATGAAGGTTAAGAACCCCTTCCAACGAAGGTAGTTTGCAAAACTGTTTTTGCGCTGCCGGCAGTAATGCCTTAATTAACGAGTCTCTTTAAAACTCTGCTTCGCCCACACGCTGAAGTCCCCATACCGCTGCATAACTTACATGAGAAATCAGAGGATCTATCAGACCCGTGAGTGTGACTGAAAAGGGCAAACTCCTATCCGACTCCTCCCTCAATCCACAAGCAAGAGTAGGGCTAAAAGGCCCCAACACCACCTCTGATAAGGAAACTGAGGCCCAAACCCCACCACCACCACCCCGCCCCCACGAGGCCGAATCTGTCCGGACTCTGCGCAGAGGTGCCTGAACCCTGCTCATGCCACACCTGGGGGCGAACCCAGAGACTCCTGCCCTCTGGGTCGCAGACACCACCCCGCCGACCCCCGGCCTCCGGGTCACGGTTCCTACTTGTCTGCAGCGTCTTCAGGAGCATAAGCTGGCACTTCTGGTTGTTGGTGAAGAAGCTGGAAAGGAACCCTTGCTGGGGATTCCCCTGAGCCAGCCGCTCGGGGAAGACCTGGCACGCGACGTGTTGCTGCTGCAGCTGTTCCCCCGCAGCAGAACCGGGCCCGCTCTCGTCCGGAGCTCCAGCCATGCCGCCCGCAGACTTCGCCGCTGCTTCCTCCTGCCTCGGGCGGCCGGGTATGAGACCCGGGGAAGGCAACCTCCTTCCCGCCAACCGGGCCGCCCAGATCCTCCTTGTGCCCGGCCGAACCGGCCCCAGGCAGGGTGACCGCCACACACAGTGTCTGAGGACTTTGCGGCTGCTGGGCCTCCGAGCCCAGCAAGGGACGCTGGGCGGGGCGAGAGGCGCGGGGAGGGGCGGGGCTAGAGACCAGGCGAGGGGCGGGGCGAGAGGCGCGGGAGGGACGAGAAGGGGCGGGAAGAGGCGGGAAGGGGCGGGGCTAGATGCCCAGGGAGGAGCGGGGGCCGAGAGGGTGCGGGGCTCTGGATCGCCTACAGGCCGAAAGACTCGGGCCTGGCAAGCGCCCTTGCAGGCGTCTCGGACCCTGCTGTGGGCTTCGCTGCTCCCCCTAGGCTTGGTTGGCCCGTCCTCGTAAGCGTGGTTATGCAGCCCGCCTCCTTGTGGACACGCCTTCCTCGGTACTAGCCACTAAGTCCCTTCAAGCTCCGAAGGTCTCAGGCACCGTCCCAGTCCCTTGCCTTTTCCAACCAGCAGACCAATTGCAGTCTGGCCCACCTGTCTCCTGACATCCCAAGCCATATTGAAAGCAGTACTTCTCAGAAACGTTTAAAAGCTGCAATTATAATGACTGGTCATCTCAAAATCCTCAAAATGTGGGACACAACTACTTTTTTTCTGTCTTACCTGGGCCCATTCATCCACCCCACTCTCTTGCCACCCCAAATAACTTTCTGATAACATAACACAACCAGTTTCCTTCCATCTCCAAGCCTTAATTCACTTCCATCTATTAAGCCCTTTTCCTCAGTCCTTATGATCCAGGTCGTGATCAAATCTACCCACTCTGCAAGGTATTCCCAGATATCTTAATCAAAATTATTCTCTCCTGGTCTCCCAGCGTACCAAGTACTTTGCATCTGTTATCATTTTCATCACAACTTGTCGGGTTTTAACTAATTTGTGTTTCTCTTTTTCCACTAAATTACCCAGTTCAACTCACATATTTCTTCAGCACCTACTATGATGGACCAAGCATAATGGCAGAGACTGAGAAGGCAATAATAAGAGAATTGATGAGGTTGAAGAGGAGCATATGGTTTATGTGAGAAACACATTGAAATTATTCGTGTTCAAGAGACCTTGAGGATTATAAAGAGTACTTTATGTGTCATGAGTGCTTCATAAATATCTAGATTGAGTGCAAATCGAAACCACAATGAGATATCACCTCACACCTCTCAGAATGTCTATTATCTAAAAGACAAGAAATAACAAGTGTTGATGAATATGTGGAAAATTGGGAACCCTTGTGCACTGTTAATGGGAATGTAAATTGGTGAAGCCGCTGTGAAAAACAGCCTGGAGAACCCTCAAAAAATTAAAAATAGAACCAACATATATGATCCCGCAATTCCACTTCTGGGTATTTAGCCAAAGAAAACAAAAACACTAACTTGAAATGATATATGCACCCCATGTTCACTGCAGCATGGTTTACAATAGTCAAAATATGGAAGCAACCTAAGTGTCTGTTGAAGAATGAACGAAGAAATAGCGGTATAAATACACAACAGAATATTGTCCAGTCAAAAAATAAAAAGAACAAAATCTTGCCATTTGCAACAACATGGATGGACTGTGAGGGCATTATGCCAAGGGAAATAAGTCAGACACAGAGAGACAAATACCATGATTTCTCTCAGATATGCAAACTAAAAAAACAAAAACAAAAGCCCACAAGTTCAAGGATACAGAGAACAGCTTGGTAGTTGCCAGAGGTGGGAGTAGAGAATGGGAGAACCAGGTGAAGGAGGTCAAAAGGTAAAAAGAAAAAAAAAATCATAGAAAGATAAAAATGAAATGTATGTAGAATAAATGACAGCAAAAGTCACGTGGGTTAAACAGTGTTCTACTGGCTTTGTATTGATTGGGAAGTGGTAAAAGTACTAATTTGTAGTAGATTTATTTAGTCAAGGATACATGTTGTAATTACAAGGAAAACCATGAAGAAATAGCATAAAAGGGCAAAACGAATGGGCTAATAGAGGGCGGAAATGAAAAACACACAAATTGGATGGGTTGCTAGGATTATTCATTCATCTGAAATATGAAAACATGAACACCTCCTAAATACAGATTGCTAAAGCTATAATAGTTTTTTTAAGCCACTTTATTGAGCTCACCTTAAATTCATTATTTCTAATCTTGACTACAACCCTGCAAAATAAGTGTTATTATCACTATTTTGCTGATAAAGAAAGTGGGCTCAGCAATATCGAATAATTTATCCAGGACCACACAACCAACTTTCAATCTAGTTAGGGAGCTACCACATAAACGTATAGAAAACTACGCCATTACAAGTTATTGTAATGAGTCTGCAATACTAAGGAAAGTCTAGAGAAGATGGGGCCTGACATGGACCATAGCCTGTAAGCATGTGAAATACTATGGGAAATCCTATCCAGCTACATGAATAAGGAAAAAAAATGCAGATTAAAAGCTGTAACTTTCCCCTACCAAATTAGCAAATAGTTTTTTCATCACTGAAGGCAACAAAGAAGGAAAACTAGAAAAAAATTACACCAAAACATGATCAGTAGATGCCTAGATACTGGGATATTTTTATTATATTCTGAATTTTGCTAATGTCCCACAATAAGCACGTATTACCTTTACAATCAGAAAAGTAAACTTTAAAGAACTGAGTAGGCTTTGGATGCCGTGTGTGTACCTTCATCCCTTTACAGTATAAAGACAGAGTGGAATGGGAAGGTGTTGTGGGAGAGATAAGGAAGTGCAAACACAAAGGACTAATTTAAGAAAGAGAAAAGTAATTATCACAAAGAAATGAGAACATGAGCAAAGAGTTAGCTACAAGGATTTTCATTTCTCCATTGCAGCACCAAACAAGAGCAAAAAGGACAGAAACTGTTTCAGTGTCCAAGAGATACAATGGAATACATGAAACCATATTGTTGTAGTGTCCTTTTAAACATATTCAGAAAAGTTAAGTTACAAAACAGCATAAACGCGATCCCATTTTGAAATTTCATTTACTGTATCTGTGACAGGAGTCTGGAAGGCTACCCCAGTGTTTATTTCTCTGTGGCTGAGACGTGGGTGGTTTGTTTTGTTTTGGGGCTTCTCTTCGTTTTCTAAAGCAAAAATAGTTGCTTTTTACTTGTAAGTTATTTAAGTATGTCACAGCAACACGTGAAGTTGCATATCATTTTAAAGTGTGTTCCATCTTTCAGCTTTTTAATAAGGTTTAATCCATTTATCTAGGGCCCACAAAAACGGGATGGCTTTACAGCCTTTCCTTAGCTCTCCAGTCATTTTGAATGTTGGGAAAGAACAAAACATTCCCCCCACCCCGCCCCCCAGCCTCCCAGCCCCCCAAGCCCCCCAGCCCTCCGCAGAAAAACGCCTCTTCGCCAGCAGTCACAGGAGACTGACAGGCATCTACTTCCGGAAGGAGTCAGCCCTCCGAACCAGAAGAGAATGAGAGAAGGCGCGCAGCATTCTGGGAAGACCCACAGACGCCGGGTTAGGCGGGGCGAGGGTTGCTGGCTGTTGCCAGGGCAACTGGAAGCGATTGGCGGTCGTCCGCGGTTTGAAGCTGTTAGGCAGTAGAGTCCGGGATGCTCAGAGGTCATTTGGGATCAGCATGAGGGGCATGAGGGCCTTTCTAAGACAAGACTGTCCTCTCAGGAGGTCATCCAGTCGTGCCCGCGCCGGGGACACCTGCCCCCGGGGGGAGGGGGGGAGGAGGGGGCTCTGGGCCACGCCCTCCTGGAGAAGAAAGTAAGTGTGGCCCAGTGGCTCGTGTCACTTCTCTAAGTTTTTTTCTTCCTTGTAGAAAATTTAAGTTGATAATAACAATATTACATTGCAATGTGTTCTAATATCAAAGTAAATTGTTTTCAGGTGAGTAAAAAGAAAAAAGGCACCCGTCCTCCTCACTACCTAGCAGTGACTTCAATTTGTCAGGTATTACCTATCACTGTTTTCTCAGCCCAAATGTTTTTTACACAGTTGAGTTTATTTGGGGAAAATCATCTTGTACCCTGCTTTTTCATAAATATGCATAGGATGTAATCGTTGTTAAAATCTTAGCAACAGAGAAGGCTTTTGAAGACCTGAATGTAAATCTTGTTTTGTAGTGAATTGAAGAGACAGAGATGAAGCGGACGCAGCACGTGAAGACAATTCTTTCAAGAAGTTTGGCTGTAAAGGAAAAGATAAAGGTCAGTAGCCAGAGAAGAATGGCAAGGAAAAGAAAAAATTTAGGATTTTTCTTTAAGAAGAGGAGACATAGTGGTGTTTATTAGTACAAGAGAAAAAAAAAAAAAAACAACAACTAGTAGTCAGAGGTTAAAGATACTGCCAACAAAGAGAATGACTGATTGAATGATTCTGTAAAGGGGGCGCCTGGGTGGCGCAGTCGGTTAAGCGTCCGGCTTCAGCCAGGTCACGATCTCGCGGTCTGTGAGTTCGAGCCCCGCGTCGGGCTCTGGGCTGTTGGCTCAGAGCCTGGAGCCTGTTTCCAATTCTGTGTCTCCCTCTCTCTGCCCCTCCCCTGTTCATGCTCTGTCTCTCTCTGTCCCAAAAATAAATAAACATTGAATGATTCTGTAAAGAAATAGGAGGAGATAAGATCCACACATCAAGTACATAAATAGCTTAGGAAATGGAACCTGGTAGGAAGATGTCAAAGGGGGTTGTGATGGTTATAATTTTAAATCTATTATAAGTTGGCAAGAGTAATGAAGATATATCAAAATACATATATATGGCAAATAATATGTATACTCAGTCACATTAGTAATATTATAAATGGAATATTAAATGCTTATTACATTGGCAAAGATTGGGGAGCCTGGGTGGTTCAGTTGCTTGAGCATCCAACTTTGGCTCAGGTCATGATCTTACAGTTGCTGAGTTTGAGCCCACATCAGACTCCCAGTCTGCTTCAGATCCTCTGTCCCCCTCACTCTCTGCCCCTCCCCTGCTCACACTCACTCTCTCCAAAATGAGTAAACATTTTTAAAAAAAAGAGTATGCAAAAAAAAAAATTGGCAAAGATTAAAAAGAAAATACTATATGTGTTGGGCAAGGGCTCAGTTAAATAGGCACCCCCCCCAGGCATTTTAGGACTCTGTATCCTTAAAACGTATATATACTTTGACTAAGGAAGTGTACTTCTAGGAAGTTCTCAAAAGGAAGTAATCAAAACTGCACACATACTAAGCTGGATGGAGTTCATTTCAGCTTGTCCACCAATGAAAGATAGGTGAAATGCATTATACCCATACTTCTTAGACATGGATAACATGGTTGCAAATAAGAGAAGTTCACTTGGGGCGCCTGGGTGGCACAGTCGGTTAAGCGTCCGACTTCAGCCAGGTCACGATCTCGCGGTCCGTGAGTTCGAGCCCCGCGTCAGGCTCTGGGCTGATGGCTCAGAGCCTGGAGCCTGTTTCCGATTCTGTGTCTCCCTCTCTCTCTGCCCCTCCCCCGTTCATGCTCTGTCTCTCTCTGTCCCAAAAATAAATAAACGTTGAAAAAAAAATTTAAAAAAAAAATAAATAAATAAGAGAAGTTCACTTATATTAGTTTCCTTAAAAGCATCTTCAGGTTTTATGGGGCACCTGGGTGGCTCAGTCAGTTAAGCGTCCAACTTCGGCTCAGGTCATGATCTCACAGTTCATGGGTTTGAGCCCCACATCTGGCTCTATGCTGACAGCTCAGAGCCTGGAGCCTGCTTTGAATCCTGTGTCGCCCTCTCTCTCTGCCCCTCCCCTGCTGGCGCTCTCTCTCTCTCTCTCTCTCTCTCTCTCTCTCTCTCTCTCTCTCAAAAATGAATAAACATTGAAAGAAAAAAAGAGCATCTTCAGGTTTTATAGGAAGGGAATGTAGAGTTGCAATCTGATTGACTACCCTGATACATAATCAGTGGGATGCCTTGAACCGTTAAAAATTATTTAGAAGACTATTTAATGATAAGAAAAGATATGTAAAGTACATTGTTAAGAGAGAAAAGTGGGTTATGAAAGCAGCGATATGTAGGTTCTTACCACATGGTGGGTTTTTCTGTTTTTTGCTATTCTGCTTTCTGCTTATCTGTATTCCACATGACAAATATATATTTTTCAGGACATATAAAATGTTGCTCTTTTATTTTTTCTAATGTTTATTTTTGAGAGAGAGAGAGACAGAGTGGGAGCTGGGGAAGGGCAGAGAGAGAGGGAGACACAGAATCCGAAGCAGGCTCCAGGCTCTGAGCTGTCAGCACAGCGCCCAATGTGGGGGCTCAATCTCATGAACTGTGAGATCATGACCCTAGCTGAAGTCAGACGCTTTACTGACTGAGACACCCAGGCGCCCCATAATGTTGCTCTTTTAAAGGTGTGACTAACTTTGTAAGTGAGGAAGGAAGTTGGGGAAGTGCTCTCCTGATGACCTTGAAATAGATGATGGCTCTCTGTGAAATAGAAGATCAAAAGAAATTTGATACTCTAACAACCTGAGAGAACTATTTTTTAAATGTATCTTATAGATGCATATAATTTATCAATGCCCCCATCAGTCTCAGAAAAGATTGAGTGTGCTCAGAAAGAGATATATGCTATAATAGGAGAAAATGATAGGAAAAGGTAAAAGGTTATTGGAAAACAAAGAAAATAAAGGCAAGGGTATGTTAATACCCCCAAAATAATCATGCCAAAAGGTCCTATGTAATTGGTAGAGGCATGCTACCACAAATTAGTCTGAGGTCCCTAGCAACTAAAGCAAAACATAGTTCTAAGTTTCACATGGTCTGTAAGATTTTTTTTAAGTTGTTTAAGAGAAGTAAGGGCGCCTGGGTGGCTCAGTTGGTTAAAAGTCCGACTTAGGCTCACGTCATGATCTCGCGCACAGTCCGTGAGTTCGAGCCCCATGTCAGGCTCTGTGCTGACAGCTCAGAGCCTGGATGGAGCCTGTTTCAGATTCTGTGTCTCCCTCTCTCTTACCCTCCCCTGTTCATGCTGTGTCTCTCTCTGTCTCAAAAATAAATAAACGTTAGGGGCGCCTGGGTGGCTCAGTCGGCTAAGCGTCCGACTTCAGCTCAGGTCACGATCTCGCAGTTCATGGGTTCGAGCCCCGCGTGGGGCTCTGCGCTGACAGCTCAGAGCCTGGAGCCTGTTTCAGATTCTGTGTCTCCCTCTCTTTCTGACCCACCCCGTTCATGCTCTATCTCTCTGTCTCAAAAATAAATAAACGTTAAGAAAAAAAAATTTTTTTTAATAAACGTTAAAAAAAATTTTTTTTTAAAGACAGAAGTATAGTTTGGTACAGAAACCTGAGAAAAATTCTTCCCAAGGTCCTGGTAAGGGAATAATAATGAGATTCCTCTATTACTATTGTGTTTATTCTATTTTTGTAGAATTTAGCAACATCTCAGAAAGGTTATATTCCTATTTATTAACTCAGTAATTACAAGCTCTTATTAAGTATAGTGAGAAATAGAAACACATGTAAGACAAAGTTTCTGCCCTCATTTATGGTGAAAGAATAACTATAACATAATTGCATATTTATGATATTTAATGAAAAACGGGTAAGATGAATAGTTAGTATGATGAATACCAGGATAACTAACATGAGGAACTATAAATCAAGACAATGTTTGAAGCAAAAAAGTGAGATGGGATTCCTGCAATACACAGAAAGGCTTTCAACCAGTGGGATCATGTTTAACCTTTTGTAAAAGGGGATGCTACTCCCCTTTTACAAAAGAGGAAACAGGTTTACAGAGATCCAATCAATTGTCCAGGGTCACATGGCTGCTAACGACAAGAGCCAGGATTTCAAGCCAATTCTGTCCCTCGAAAACCACCTTAACTGCTACACTGTATGGGAGAGATAGCATTCAAATAGACTTTAAGGGGTAGAAAAGCTATGTCAGGCAGAGTTTGGGGAAAGATCATCTAGGTGAGAGGACAGCACTAACCAAATCAAAAAGGTTGGAATGCCTAGGGTATGTTTTGGATAACACACAAACACCCCAGGAAAATGAGAGATATATAGGTAAGCACTAGAAGAAAAAGACTAGGAAGGTTGGGACAGATATTTTAATTTTTGAGAATTAGTTTACCTGTAGTTTACCTGATAAAGGACTCAGGCCTCAGGGCCTGATAAAGCAAGAGTTTTAAGCCCAGAGACCTTGAACCTGAAAATTCTATGTGAGGGCTCTGGATGGGGAATTCAAGGGACACTAGGTCTAGATTAGGGACTCACCCCACCCAGGTGAGGAAGGGGTCTAATGGCAAATAATAGAATCCTGTTACACATTCGCTGTATAACATTGGTCAGGTCATATAAGATCTTTGGGCCTCAATTCTTTATCTCTTAGAGAGAGGAGGAGGAAGGAGACTGTTAGACAAGATGATCTCTTGATACCTCTTCTAGCACTAACATCCGGTGATCACATAGGCCAGAGATTGCAAACTCACATGCCTAAACTAAGGATTAAGATTTCATAAATGAGTAAATGAATTTGATGTAAGAAGAATAAGGAATGGTAGAGATTAGCGGTAGTTTAGATGTCTCATCTAAAACTCCAGGCAATTCTTGCATGAGTGAAGACTCCGTGTTGCCAGATTTTCAAATTTTTTCTGAGATACAAGAACACTGTATTTTTAAGAATATTATACAGGACAAATAAAACTGGCCGGCTAGATACAGTCCCATGGGTCACTAATTTTCAACTTCTGCTACAGATAAAAGGCCCTAAACAAGAATGGTAAGTGTTTGAATGAAAAGAACTAAATATGAGGAAAGAGGAAAGAATCAAAGAGAATAATACCAATTTTTCCCCTAGGTAAGAAGGAGGAGGTGGTAACTAAATACTAAATACTAATAAATGCTAAAATCATCAGAAGGTTTGGAGAGAGTAGGTGCTTGACTCTGAGTTTTTTTTAGCACAGGACAAACTTCTTGGTCATGGGTGTCCACTGCACATGAATCTAATTCAGCTATTGAGTTTGAGAAATCTGTGGGATCATCTGGGCAAAGGGTGCAGGAAATGTAAGGGACAGAGGATAAAACAGGAGTTAAAGATGTAAGATTCATTCCCTCAAAGTTTTATTAAACATGTAGCACAATATGTATTTGTTATTTCTTAAGACTATAAATTCTGTGAGGGCAGAAACCAAATATGTTTTTTTCACCCCTTATCCAGCACCTAGCAAAATATATAATAGGTGCTTAATGTATGTTGAACAAACAGATTGATAAATACACCATGTGTTTCACTAGCATCCTGAGACACAGGGTTGAATTCGAAAATGTTCTCAAAGAAGCTTATAGGCTAGAAAGTAAGTCAAGTCTTATATTTAATTAATTAATCTAAGTTTGAAAGTAGTACCATTTAAAAAAAAAAGGTACCATGGGATTCAGAGAAAAAGATTTTTAGAAGTTACACTGGGCTCTCATAATGGATAGTTAAGATTGGATCATGCAAATGTTGGAAAGAACTAATCAGAAGCATCTAAATTGAAGGTGCATATTTTTCTTCTGAAAGTAGTGTTTGCGACTGCCAAGATAGTGAATAGAAAAACAGTTTGAAGCCAAAACCTTGAGAATCACCCAAATGTAAAGAAGGTAAGGAAGAAGAACCAACAGAGTAAACACGGAAGAAGTCATCAGAAAACTAAGAGAGGCATGAGAAGAATGAGTTACATAGGAACCAAAAATCCACATTTCAAGCAAGACGGGTCAATCAGTATTTGTCAAATACTATAGAAACAGCAAGCCATGGAGGAGGATCAAAGGCCATTGGATGTAGTGATTAAGGAAATCATCAATGACTTCCAACTAAACAGTGTCTTTATAGTTGACCAATGATTAGAAGGGAGAGGAGCATGAAAGACCATAGAATTCAGAGGCTTTTGATTTGCTTATGGAGGGAGGGAAAGGAGTTACTTAACAGGGGGAAAATCTAGAAAAGAAGAGGACTGAGTTGCAAAAAAAAAAGGATAAATTCATGAACCAAGACTTTGGAGGATCTAAACAGTAATGAGATCAAGAAAAGAGAGAAGAGTCATTGTCAAGAATCAGCATTATAATTCTAACAAATATTAATAACAGATAATATTTTCCTTAATCTCTCAACATATTTTCCTAAGTAGTTACTTGGTTTCTTTTTACCCTTATGGCCCCAAAGTAACTTTTGATATGCTGAAAATAGTCTTAAAACTTTAACTTTGTAACATTTCTCTTTTTTTAATTTTTAAAGTTTATTTATTTAGAGAGAGGGGGTTGGGGGAGAGGCAGAGAGAGAGAGAGAGAGAGAGAGAGACCCAAGCAGTCTCTGCCATGTCAGTGATGAGCCAGACGCAGGGCTTGAACTCACGAACCAGGAGATCATGACCTGAGTGGAAACCAAGAGTCAGATGCTTAACCAACTGAGCCACCCAATCGCACCTCAACTTTGTACTATTTCTTAGTGCTTCCTTAAAATCCTCTTTTTATGAGTAAGTAGGTATTATAGTACATTATTCCTGCATTTTTTTTTTTTTTTGTTATTCCACATCCCTTCAAGAAACCACTTCTTCCCAACTGTAGCTTGTGTAGTTCAAGTGGAACTGATTCCCAACTCCCCACCCTGCCCCTCCTCCTATACTTGATCCAGATCTGGCCAATGACAACCATCACTGACACTTTCACTAACCCTATAAGGAAAAAGACTCTCTTCCTCTGATATTGCAGGTGCTAAAGACCATATAAGCATGGAGTAGACAGGCCACCTTTGCTACTACATGGAAGCTTATTTAAAATTGAAGCTTAAAAAGCCAACCTGGAAGATAGAAACCAAATCCTGATGACATTATTTGAGCTCAGGGATCCAAACATGCCAAAAGACTATTTTGCCACTGGACTTTTCAGTTAAATGAGCCAATAAACTCTCTTTTATGCTTAAACTTGGGTTTTATCTGGACTTTTGTCATTTACTACTGAAAACATCCTAATACAGGTATATTTCATTAAGTCAACATTATTTCTGTTTCCTCTATGCCTTATTTTAAATTTGTTACTCTATAATGTACTTTGTAATAATACTCCACAGCTCTCACTAAATTAATAAATTTAGTACAATCCCAATCTTAATCCCAATAGTATTTCAAGAGCTTTTTGTTGTTGTTATTTGCCTGTTGCTGTTCTGCCTAGGCAGAATTACTCCAAAGTTCACTGAGAGAAAAAACGCTAAAATACCAAAAAAAATAGGGGGATATAATCAGATACTGAAACATAAAGCAATAATAATAAACATAGGGTGGTAATAGAGTATAAGCAAACAGCCATGTAACAGAATCCAAAGGCTGAGTATAATAGGAGTATTTGCCATGTTTAATATATGGTAAATCAAGTAAAGGTTAATTTGATAAAGTATTTAATATTTAAGGACAATGAGCTAGATTTGGGGGAGAAAAATAACTAGATCTTTACTTTATTCATCATTCCGGAATAAATTCCAAATAGATTTATGACTTAAATGTGAAAATTGAAGCCAGATTCTCAATATATATTGGTTGGCATATTACTGGCACAATCTTTAGCATTATCTGCTAAATTTTTAAATATTAATACCTTTTGACACAACTTTTCAATTCTAGAAATTTATCCAGTAGAAACAAAATGTATATATATACATAAGTATGGATAATAGAGCACTGGAATATCAAAAATATTACCCACATGTGGAATAATTAAGTTATGGAGTATCTATATCATGCAATCTCAGAGGGGCAATATCACAACCAAGGAGATTAAAATTGGTTCTTGGCAGGAGGTGGGGGACAAAAAAACCTATTTTTTATGCATAAAGCACAAATATGCCTGACATATGTAGATATACAGTATATATGTGGTATTGAAATTTCATGGAGGGAATGATTAAGAAAAAAATGTATAAACAGGCTTCTTGGGAAAATAATGGGGGGGAAGACTGAAAAAAACCTCATTTATATAATTCGTTACTATGCAACTGTAAAAAAGAATGAGGTAGATGTATATTGACAAAAGAGGATGCCCAAGATGCATGAGGTTTTAAAAAAACAAAAACTGTAGATAGTCTTGTGGTCAGAAAGGGCTTCTTAAACGTGACTCCAAAGCCCAATACTATTAAACTTTAGATTAAACTACACAAAATTAAAAATTATTGCATCGTAAAAACCCTGCCCACCCACCCCCCTACACACACACACACACACACACACACACACACACACACACCCCTACACGCACATTTATAGTTAAAGTTGAAACAACAACCCAAGAGAAAATATTTGCAAAATACATGACACAAGCGTATGTTATTAATATACAAAGATCTCTTACATGTCAATAAAAAGGTTTAACACCCTAACCACACCTGGTACAGAACATGAACAAGCAAATCACACACACACACAAACACACACACCAAATAAGCATAGAAAAATATTTTTATTCTTGCTAGTTAAGAAATATAAATAATCCCAACAATAAGATAACATGTTTTCGTTGGATTAGCCAAGTTTACAAAAGGTGCTATTAGCAAAGATAGGAGATAGGGCTCTGTCAGAGTATAAAGAGGGTCAGCCCTTCTGAATTACAGTTTGGCAACCTGTATCAAAATGTTAAATATGCATACCTTTGAATCAGCAATGATACTTCTAAGAATATATCCAAAGGTGGTAATCAAACCAGAAAAGATACATGTGCAAGAATGTTTATTACAACATTGGTTAAAAATTGAGACCAACTTGAAGTTTTATAAATAAGAGTCTAAATGTACTTTTGAGTGAAAGGACCTTGTTACAAAGCATCATGTTCATTTTTTTATGTTTGTTTATTTTTGAGAGAGAGAGAAAGAGTAGCCAGAATATGGTCTGGAAAGGGAGGCATCAACTCTGGGTGGAGTGTGCCCCCTGGGAAGTCCATGGACTTCTCACCATCTAGAGGGGTACAGCTAGAGGAGGGTCAGAGCAGGGGCCCCTTGCCTGGGTCCGAGGACAATACTGCAGTAGAATTTCCCATAGTCTTGGATTTGCTGATCACATCCCCAAGATATTATTAAACACATTTCTTTGGGAGTGCCTGGGTGGCTCAGTCGTTAAGCTTCCAACTTCAGCTCAGGTCATGATCTCACGGTTCTTGAGTTCGAGCCCAGCGTCAAGTCTCTGTGCTGACAGCTCAGAGCCTGGAGTCTGCTTCAGATTCTGTGTCCGCCTCTCTCTCTGCCCCTCCCCTGCTGGTACCCTGTCTCTCTCTCTCTCAAAAATAAATAAACATTAAACACACACACACACACACACACACACACACACACACACACATTTCTTTGTTCCCTCTATTTCCTGTGAATTGATACTTAAATCTAGGAGCACAATCAGATTCAGGTCCAATGTCTTTGGCAAGAATATTTTATAGGTGAGTGGTGTGTACATACATCAGGAGATCATGACCTGAGCAGAAATCAAGAGTCGACACTTAACCAACTGAGCCACCCAGGTGCCCCTGGTCTTTGACACAATGCTCTAAGTCTTTGCTAACTTCCTTGCTTTCCAAATGACAAGTTGTTCCAGACTCATCTTCAACATTTCCTGCAGCAGACCTGGAATCAGCCACTTCTCCAAGGAACACTGGTTCTTTTCAATGGGAAATGGTATTTTAGAGGCCACAATCTGGTAAGGGTGTTTATTGCTACTGGGTGGTTGGTTTATGGTTTCTAGACCTTTCTAGTGGGTGGAGCTAAGAAATGTGGTATTCTAAAGATATAACACATATGTCCAATTCAAAATCAGAACTACCTTCATCAGTCTCACATCTGTATCTCCTTTTCCCCATGCCTAAAATCCACATAATTACTCATTTGCTTTATCCCACCATGTAAAAACAACTCTCAGAATACAGTCTTGGCACTACAACCACAATATGATTAACTGAAAGCAGTTTGGGGTTTTTGTTGTTGTTTTGGGGGTATGGGAGCCTTTCTGTAAGTATTTTTGGCATTAGGGTATATTTCAATAAGGATGTGTAGTATATTACTGTGTTTTAAAGTCACTTAGAGAGGGTCCACATGTGTGGTTATGCCACCAACTCAATACAGTTAGGTTAATTTGTTTAATCTTGATTTTAGTTTTTAGAGATTGCATTTTTAATGTAGCTTTGTTTTATAACTCATATAAAATATTTATGTGGTTCTAAAGTCAAGTCTATAAAACAAGAACTATCAGAGAAAAATCTAGCTTCTACCCCATCCTTCCTGTCTTATCCTTCCCTCACTATGTAAATAACCATTTATTTTTATTATTTATCCTTCCATGTTTTTAGATACATAAACAATTATAATCTTTTAAAAATAAATATAGCATACTGTGCACTCAATTCACGCATTGACAGTGTACAATTTAATGATTTTTAGTATATTCACAAAGTTATACAACATCACCACAAGTTTGGAACATTTTCATAACCCCAAGACACCCTTTATGCCTAGTCACCCCTTATCAATCCCCCAATCCTCCCTAGCCTTAGGCAACCACTAATCTACTCTCTGTCTCTATAGACTTGCCTATTCTGAATATTTCATATAAATGGAATGCTATGATACGTGGTCTTTGTGTCTGGCTTTTTTTATTTACAAAATGTTTTCAAGACTCATTCATGTTGTATATGTAGCAGTACTTCATTGCTTTCTATTGCCAAATATATTCCATTATATGGGTGTAACACATATTATTTATCCATTCATCAGTTGGTAGACATTTGGGTTGTTTCCTCTTTTTGGCTATTGTGAATAATGCTGCTATGAACATTTGTGTACCAGTTATTGTGTAGGGTAGACTTACATTTTCATTTCTCTTGAGTGGTAGCTGGGTCATATAGTATCTCCATGTTTAACTTTTTTAAAAAAATTTTTTTCATGTTTATTTGTTTTTGAGAGAGAGATACACACAGTGTGGGTGGGGGAGGGGGAGAGAGAGAGGGAGACACAGAATCCGAAGCAGGCTCCAGGCTCTGAACTGTCAGCACAGAGCCCCACACAGGGCTCAAACCCATGAACCGCAAGATCGTGACCTGAGCTGAAGTCCGACGCTTAACCGACTGAGCCACTCAGGTGCCCCATCCATGTTTAACATTTAGAAGAGCTGTCAAACCATTTTTCAAAGCAGCTGCACCATTTTACATCCACCCCCAGCAATGTGACTTCCAATTTCTCCACATTCTTGCCACCACTTTTTACTGTCCATCTTTTTTATAATAGCCATCTTAGTGGAAGTGAGGTGATATCTCATTGTGGTTTTGATTTGCATTTCCCTAATACTAATGATGTAGAGCATCTTTTCATGTGTTTATTTGCCATTTGTATATCTTCTTAGAGAAACAATCTGTTAAAATCCTTCACCCATGTATCAATTGGGTTGTCTTTCAGCTGTTATTTTTTTTAATGTTTATTTATTATTTTTGAGAGAGAGACAGAGTGGGAGCAGGGGATGGGCAGAGAGAGAGGGAGACACAGAATCCGAAGCAGACTCCTCCAGGCTCTGAACTGTCAGCGCAGAGCCCGATGCAGGGCTCGAATCCACAAATGAGATCATGACCTGAGCCAAAGTTGGACGTTTAACCAACTGAGCCACCCAGGCGCCCCAGTTCTTTTTTATTCTATATGATTATCCATTTGATATACAGTTCAGTTCCTTTATTTCTGTTTGTATTCAGTTTTAGGATTTCTCCCCAAACTTGTTGATTTTACTTTATTTTATAAATATGTTAGATATTTACATGGTTCCAAAAGTCAAAGCTATACGCAAATGCTTATCCAGAGAAGTGTCATTCTCTCCTGTAGGCAAATGTCATTAGTTTCCAGTTTGTTCTTCCAATGTATATTTTAGTAAAAATGAACAGATATATGTATATTATTTCCCCTTATTTCTTACCCAGAAAGTAGCGTATGAGATATAGTCTCTTTTGCTCTTTACTTTTCTCACTGAGCAGTAAATCCTGAAAATCACTCCATAAAAGCTGCCTAGTACTTTATTATGTGTACATGACTTTGTTGTGTATTCAGTCTCCTATGTATACAGATTTAGATAATCTCCAACACTTTTCAGTTACAAATACATTGCCCTGTATAATCCACATGTGTAGTTTGGTACTATTTGGAGATATTTCTTCAGGATAAATTCCTGCAGAATTTGGTAAAAGGGTAAATTCACAGATATTGCCAAATTCTCTCCCGTAGGGATTATATCATTTGGCAATCATTCCAGCAATAGATGAGAATTCCTATTTTTCCACAACCTAACCAAGAGAGTTCACAGCTTTTTTATTTTTTTTTTATTTTTTTTTTCAACGTTTATTTATTTTTGGGACAGAGAGAGACAGAGCACGAACGGGGGAGGGGCAGAGAGAGAGGGAGACACAGAATCGGAAACAGGCTCCAGGCTCTGAGCCATCAGCCCAGAGCCCGACGCGGGGCTCGAACTCACGGACCGCGAGATCGTGACCTGGCTGAAGTCGGACGCTTAACCGACTGCGCCACCCAGGTGCCCCAGTTCACAGCTTTTTTAAACCACTGGTAATACTCATTAAAAAAAAAAAAAATACAGTCATAACCATCATTCATGCCTATCTATATTTCCTGAAATTGGTGCTTTTCCCAAAAGAATTTTAGGTGGAAGTCCATAGAACTATAAGCACCCTTCACGTTTATGGTTTTCATTATGTGGATTTTCTATTTGGACTTTGCTGCCCTCCCCCCTTTTTTTTGGCAGCAATGCTTTGGAACAATGTGTTTGGGAACTTGAAAAAAGCATGGTGCATCCCTAAAACCTGTAGCTGGTCTGTCACCCAGGAGGAGGCTGCAGCAGAAATATTATGCCCTGATGATAACCAAATTTATATCCATGCATCTCTGTCATTATCATTGTCTTAAAGACTGGTGTTGTGTTTATCTTCCCCCCAGAGTGTATCTTCGTTTCATTCACATATTTTCATCCCACAAGAAAAAAATTTTCTGCCTTTGTTAACTTTAGCACAAAGAAACAAGGAAAAGCTAAACCTCTGGGTGTGAAACTAAACATCACGAAGAGATGTATGCAAGGAGAAGACAGCAGATACCAGAGGCTCAACGATGTCGTGTGAATAGAGGGCACATGCCTTTAACCCTCACTTTGTTCTTACCATCGTCAGAATCCCAGGCAGGAAAGAGCACATGGGCCAAGATTGTGTAACCAGCCCTATAGCACAGCTTCCCTTTAAAGGAATCAAGCAACTCACCAATGTGTTCCTCTTCTACCTCCTCAAAGCCCACTTGCCTGGCTGGCTGTCAAGGTTGGGCCTCCAAGCCATCAACCCATGGAGGGTGGAAAAAACCACCCTACTAACTCTAACATTTCATCCAACCACATTTCCCCACTTATACTACATGTCTACTCTTTCCTTTGCTCATTCTCTCTTACCCTTCACCCCTCCTTCCCGTGGACACTTCACTGATCATCCACGAGTACTTCAACAAGTCCTTCGTAGTCCTCTCCTTCCCCAGCCTGACAGAGGCTGCATGGCATATTAGAAACAGCACGGGCTTTGGACTATGAAAGGGTAGGTTTGACTCTTGGCTCTGTATGAATGAGCTTTATGACCTCGAACACATTATCATGAGACTTCTAGGCCTTAGTTTCCTCATCTGTAAATGGGGGAAATAACATCTACTTTGTAGAGTTGTAGGATTAATAATGATGGTGTCAGTGTCTGACACAGTAGCTCAGTAAATAATAACTAATACATAAAAACCCCATGTAAGAAAGGCCACAAAGTATCTTTATTCCTTGTTTTCTATCCACCTTCTAATCTGTGCTTCCTCACTTTTAAAAATAAATGATTTTAGGGGCACCTAAAATCACCTAAAATCAGTTGGCTAAGCGTCCAACTTCAGCTCAGGTCATGATCTTGTGGTTCATGAGTTTGAGCCCTGTGTCAGGCCCTGTGCTGACAGCTCGGAGCCTGGAGCCTGTTTCGGATTCTGTGTCTCCCTCTCTCTCTGCCCCTCCCCTACTCAGGCTCTGTCTCTCTTTCTCTCTAAATAAACATGAAAAAAATTTTAATTAAAATTAAAAAAATAAAAAATGAAATAAAGGATTGTAAAGTCTTTTCCAATACTAAAATTCTGTTTTTAATAGGAAAAAATAAACAGATGTATATTAAAGGCCTATTATGTACAGAAAAGGTCACATATTTCTTTAGGTCAACCAGATTAAATTAAAACCTACTGAAAAAATAATCTTTAGGTATTCTTTTTCTTCCTTCACACATTACTGCCAATGGTGTCACTGTATATATGATCAAAGGGAGTAGTGAGTGACAATCATTCCTGTACATAACAGCCTTGGAGGCTTTTTTCATATATGTGTATATATGTGTAATTAAATAATATTTATGCCTCAAAAATTCTATTTCAATGCTTCCTTATTCTCTAAAACTGTACTAATATGGTCACCACTAGTCATGTGTGGCCACTAAGAACTTGAAATGTGGCTAGTCTGAATTAAGAATGTGCTCTAAGTATAATCTCCACTCTAGATTTCTGTGACTTAATTTGACAAAAAAAAATGTCATTGACATTTTTATATCGATTACATGTTGAAATAATGATATTTTTGATATATTAGATTGTATAAAATATATCATTAAAATTAATTTTAGCTTTTCCTTTTACCTTTTTTGATACGGTCATTGGAATTTCCTAAATGGCTCACATTATATTCCCATTGAACAAGACTGCTCTAAACAAACGAGATGCCTACATAACATTAATCATCTCTAAGACAAGATTATCACTAACTTGTAGTAAATTTAATTTACTAAGGAATATGGGAGCTTTTTCCTGTGCATAGTCTCTGGGGAGTAAAATCAATACCCGCTCTTAGTGACTTGTGCATTTTAATTTTTGGAGTGATCCTGAGATCACTAGATATCAGCCACTGCTGGTAAAGACTGACTGTCATACTCAACTCAACAGTGTGGCCTCATCCCAAGGAGTCAGTAAAAGATCGGGCTGGGGTGATCACAGCTAGATCAGCTTCGCTGTCTAGGAAATTCGTGTCATTACAACTGAATTAGTTCAGTGCAACCCAGCCAAGTGCTTTCCTGGCTACCGTGACAGCCTTGGTGGGAGATGACCAAGCTATCACTAGGAAGCCTCCTTTTACCCTGCTCATCTCCTCTGAACATTACCACCTGCAAAGGTTCTGAACCTGGGCCCACAAGATGTGCTTTGGTGCCTTCATGAACTGCTCGAAATTGTATTCGGTTGCATGTGTATTTGAATTCTTTTAGATAGATCTGTAGCCTTCATCAGGTTCTCAAAGGGCGAGTTGTATGACTGTTCAAAAAATGAAGGACCACTGACATAAGAAATTAAGTAGCGCCCTACCTGTTGTATTCGTTTCCCAATGCTGCAGTAACAAATTACCATCAACTTAGTGACTTAAAACGAATCTATGATCTTCTAGCTCTGTGGATCAGAAGTCTGACACGGTCTCACCAAGCTAAAATCAAGACAGGGCTTCATTCCTTTCTGGAGGCTCTAGGGGCAACCCGTTTCCTTGTTCATTCAGGCTGTTGGAAGAATTCAGTTTCTTGCAGTTGTAGCAGTAAGGTCCTCATTTCCTTGCTGGCTGTCATCTGAGTGCTGTTCCTCACTCTAGAGGCTGCCCACATTCCTTGGCTCATGGCCTCCTTCTTCTGTCTTCAAAGCCAAGTTTGAGGCCTTCTCAAGCTTCAAGTCTCCCCTGTCTCTTCTTCAGCCACATCTCTCTGACTCATTTTCCTGCCTTTCTCTTCCACTTTTGAAGGCTTATGTGATTATGATGTGATCACATTAGGCCCATCTGGATAATCCAGGATAATCTCCCTATTTTAAAGTTCATAATCTTAATTCCCTCTGCAAAGTCTTTTTTACTATATACTTTAACATATTCACAGATGCCAGGGATCAGGGGGCCACTATTCTACCCACCACACCTTTCCACCTACATTTCTGCTACTTGCTCCATTCTGAGCACAGCCCCTATGCAAGGTGTCCCTCCACAAAAAGTGTGTGAGGCTGTATTTGTCCTCAACAGCTTCCTCGGTCTTCCTTCAGTTACTCATTAGTAAAGTGCCACCCAGTACCCCCACTTAAAGACTCAACATACTTGGGCCCCAACAGCACCCCGCTTCTCCTGCTCCTCAGGCCAGACTCTACCTCCATCTCTCTACCTTTCCTCCTCTTTTAAAAAAATTAAGTTCCACAGTTACCATCTGGAAGGGATCTAATAAAATAAGTCACTCTAAACTGTTAAAGACTGATAAGTAATAACCCTTCTAATAATATTAGAATAAAACATTTATATATAAATATATATAAATATATATATTTGAAAAATTTATTAAAACTTATGGAAAATTTGTTACCAAATTTCTGGGAATCGCAAGTCAGCTATACCCAAGGCTTATTATATCCACTCACACACGTCTTCTGTTTTCCTATTGTCATCAATCAACTCCATTCACTAGGTTGTATTGTGGGGACTATCATCCACCCCTCTCCCTTCTAAGAGATTCATCCTTTGTTCCAGACCTTCAACACCAGCTCGCTCACAGGTCTTCGAGAGAATATCAGTCTGCCTATCATTAAACTTACAGACAACCAAGGAGGGAGAGTGCACTAAAAAGGGAAAGGTCCGGCTTTCTTGGCCTAGACCACCTTCAACTGTCTCCTTTGTTAAGGAAATCTGCCCTAGATATTTCCTCATAGCATCCTTGGCCTTTAGAGAAATAAGCAAATGTAAAACGGTATTAGGAATAATTGCCCTCATCAATATCAATGATTTTTTCATATTTAGTTTAAGACAAGATTTAGCAGCCAATCTAAAAAGTCATAGAAAAATAAAAATTATTCAGATAGTGAAGCATGGATTTCTTCCATTACAAGCTCCTTCTTTCTCCCTCTCTCTCCCTCTCCCCTGCCTCTCTTTCTCACGAGCACACAACCATTTCTTCGATGGGTGGTTGCAATAAAGAAAATTCAAAGAGTAAAACTGTTGCTGATAGACTGTTTCATTTTCAAAACTCAGAGTTGCCAGGTATCCCTTTCCTTAAACCATGTCCTTGACTCTGGAGACAAGATGTCGAGGGCTTTTCAAGCACAACACCTACTCATCAGCTAGAGTCCACCATGGTGGAAAGGGGGACACTGCATTTTAACATGGTGGTTTTGATGTGGGGCATTTTTTCAATAAGACCTGGAAAATAAAACATCATGTCTCCCCACACTCTGTCTCTACTCCCTTCATTTTTTTCATCAGGTAGTGTGTAGAATCCATATCCTTCTTTTGATCCTTCTATCTCAACTCTGATCTCCACCCCATCCCTCAACCCACGCTGTAGTCGGTGATTCACAGGGAGACTAACAAAGCTGCAGCCGCAGGACCCAACACTTTCAGGGCTCTGGGAGTTACTGGGAGTTGTAGAGGGATCTTGGTGGGAGGTGAAGCCAGGTGGCAATCGGTAAGGATTTCTGTGTGAAATTCTGGAAAATTGCCTAAAAATATATCAGAAGAAAGTATCTGAATCTCCAAAGCATCAATAGTTCATTGCAATTCGTTTTGTCACCCTAAATAAGTATCTAAACGGGCAACTTTGCACATAATTTTGCATGCTTTTCTCTTAAAGGGCCCCCCCAAATTGTAAACACTTCAGCCCCACAAAACCTGGTTCTGTGTCTGTTCACCTCATCACAGCTCCTCATGGCATCCCAGGTCTCAACCCACTCTTCATTCCCAACCCCCACCAACCCTCCCTCAACTGAGGGACCTGCAAGGGTGAGAAGCCAATTTAAATACTATTTCTACCACTTAGTACCTTTGTGGCCCTGAGTGAGACATTTAAGCTCAATGAACTTCATATTCCTCACCTGTAAAACGTGGATAATAATAATACCTATCTTGAAGGGTTATTTTTGAGGATCAGAAATAATGAGTGAAAAGTGCCTATCATCTTGCTCCACAGTGGACCCTGAATTTACAGCACCTAAGACTTTCAACTGCTGTAGCTTATGAAGATGAGGAACACAAACTGTACTCAAGTCAGGCAAATTCCATGAAGACTAGTCCTTACACATACTTGGCATGACTTATACATCATCAAGCTCTTAGCACAATGTTGCTTTAGGTTTGACCCCCAGGCTGGTCCAATCCTGGTTCTCATCCTCTGATAGTCCCCAGATATACCTCTTTGTTCTTTTCTGCAGGCACCCAAACTGCATCAGAGGACTGCTCCTCCCAGCGTCTCTCCAATCCTTTACGTCTAGCTTGGAAAAAACATACTCATTTTGCTGCTGCCCCCATGGCTTAGTATGTTGGGCTGCTATAACAAAATACCATAGACTGAGTAGCTGATCAACAATAGAAACTTATTGCTCACCGTTCTGGAAGGTGGGAAGTATAAGAACAAGGCACCAGCATGGTAGGGCAAGGGCCCTCTTCCTGATTCACAGCCAGCACTTTCCATGGTGCCCCCACATGGTGGAAGGGGCTAGGGATCTTTCTGGAGCCCCTTTCATAAGGTACTAATCTCGTTCATGAGGGCTCCATTCTCATGGCTTAAGCACCTCCCAAAGACTCAACTTACTATTACATCAAGCATTAAGATTTTGACATATGAACTTCGAGGTACACATATTCAGACCATAATACCCCCACTTAAGCCACTTCCTAAGGGCTTTTGTATACGCAACTATTCCTCAATATTCATGCAGCATCTGTATATACACAGGACATTTTATGGGGCTCTTGGG